TTCAGAAGTTTTTTTTCTATGTGGTCCAATCTTAACAACTAATTGAGAACTTCAAAATATGATATGAGAATACTAGCGATTCATTTACATCGACCGAAGCAGAGATTTAACGATTATTCTCGTAGAGCAAAAGAATTGCCTACCAATTTCATTGATATCAGAATGGTATGAATAGGATCGCAATTGTTTACGTGATGATGAATGCTAGAATATCATTCATACATACTTTAGAGTTCAAAATAGGCCGACTATTGTACAGTTTTTGTTCAAGTGTATTAAAAACAATATGTATTTCATTTTCCACTAAAACCTTCTAATTTTTATATTACGTTTTCAAACAAAATTAAAAATGTTACCACTAAAAAGATAATGTTTAGCAATTACGCCTGCGATGTCTATGATCTTTTTAAGGAAGTGATAAATATAATTTCAGATGTAAGCTACTTTAAACATATTACGGAAGGAAGGCCAGCGTTCATACTCCCATCTGGTGTCTGAGTATCATGTGAAAGTATTTTTATATGCACTTCTTACGGTTCATTTGATGGTTGCATTAGGGTGTAGCTTTGAGTTACAGCGTTGTCCGAAGTAGTAGGTGCATAATATTCATTAAAGGCTAAATTTACTTTGGACCACCATTCATCTAAGGAGAGGGGTTATCCTTCGCCTCTCCTATGCGTTAACAGACAGCGCACACTGTGCACAGAAATCGCGTAGCGGCGTGGCAAATGCGGCGGCAAACTTTTTTGCAACTACGGCCAAAGTGCTCTCTGACTCCGGAGTTCTACGGGTGTTAGAATTTGAAAGCAGCTTTGTCAATTGAGGCGGTAGTGGACTTCTATGTGGTAGATATGAGTTCGAAGCAAATGCTTGCTTGGCCCACGGTCGCTGCTCGTGCAGAGTTTTTTCGTGGCAACATACTTAATTGCAGCTATATTAGCCTGCCTACGAAGTAATTTGCTTAAGTCGTTTAGGTTACGACGCTATCCTTTAAATATTTCCGGTATGGCCTTAAATGCATCTTCACAAGCCTCACTAAATGAATAAATGCCTACGGTTTTAACCGAACTTCTTTTAAATGCGTACTTCATGAAGAAGATTGTTTTATATCATTTCTGCAGTGGGGTCGAACCCTTTGTCGTATTGAAAATGTTGGCTTCGTGTTTTTCTAGATGCAAAATACGAAAAGATGAAGTGTGTTTTGTTGTTCTTTAGTTTGTTTATATTCTACCTTAAGCAGTTTTCGAGCTTCGTAGTGCGCCCATCGCGTCGCCTTCAGGATACACCATGTGCACTTAAGTAATTCAATTACCTTATCTAGTGGGGGAATCATTTCATCCATTTAATATCTTCCAAAAAGTACATGATTAACATACACTTCATATTTCAAAGTTTTAGACGCTTTTGGTTATCGAATCGGAGAGCCATGTGCCAGTTGCAATATAGTTCGAATAGCAAGAAAGGGTGCATGATTAACCTCAAAGGTAACAAATTTGAACTGGGAGCCTTCAATTCATTTCGTTACTGGACGTCTAATACAACATAATTTCTTCAAAAGTCTGCTTTCGTTTGATCCAAAAACCTAACGGCAACATTTTTTTGTTTCCTATAATGACACAACTATATCATAATTAGTTACTAGGTTCGACTGCGAATCAGAAGCTTTGCATAATAGTAGATGGTTGCATTTATATTGACCTGCGATACGTTTTGGTAAAATGATAAAGTAATACGACTTATCCATGTACACAACGGTTAAATTTGATGATTTTGATTCTTCTTTACCTAAAATAACAGTTTTCTATTTAGTGTTATTAAGTTTTTCAGTGTATGCAGACACTAATCATGGAGCGCTCCAAATTGCATTTCGGACATTCATTACTTTTGTTGTCTAAGTTGAAGAAATCTGCTGCCGACGCCCATCAAACATGCATACAACAACTTTTAATGTTTCTGCAAATTTGAAGTGGAATGCTTCATTTTTACGATCAGGGGAATGTCGACAACAGACATTACACAGACGAATAGAGGATCAGGTAGAACCACCAGACAGAACGACGGACACGCTTAAATTAATTCAGAATTTGATGCTGGTTAATAATATATATATATGAGAAGTGTTTGAAGCTTTCTGGGTGTTGCAAACGTTTTGTCAAAACGAATATACGTATAAAAAGAAAATTTATTTCCTAAATATTACCCCCATCAACATAAAAAAGATGTAATTTATTCTTTTTTTTTAAGCGTTCAAATATAATAACATTAAGAATAAAAGAAAAGCATATATGTATATAAAATGTTTGACGCTGGCATGCTGATAATGAAAATGCAAGAGGCAATAAAACTATTTTAGTGCTTTGATGGATACTGACTATTACAAACTTATTTTTTTAATATTTTTATGACAACAAAAGTTCTAAAATTCCTCAACAGTATTCGTACGTAATTTCAAACGCACTAAAAAAACGTTTACCGCTTCGATATTGATGTAGATGTTGTGTCTCTTCATTGATTTAGAGCTTGATCAACACGATTTGCTTGTTACTTTGGTGTGACATTGAATGACATTGTTAAGTCACAAACTCCTGTGGAATCCCTCAATTTCGCTTCATATTCTCTTACACTAACAGGCCTTGTTTAAGGAGGAAACTTTTTTATGAGACGATAACGTTATCAAATCATTTGAGTATACTAACAATGCATTCGCTTCAGAAGTTTTGTTAAATTACTTTAATAATGACGCTGATCTGTCTTTACCGGTTGATGCCTCGAATACAACGGTAGGTACTATTTTACAAAAATCAGTCAACGAAGAAGCTGAACGTTTAGGTTTCTTTTCAAAAAAATTGTGACCGTGTGAAACCTTGGAGCGTGAGCTTCTGGCAATATATATAAACATTTGAAACGCATATTAGAGGGAAGACAATTTACAGGTTTACTTAAAAGCAAATATAGTGGCAGACATTCTCTCGCGAGCGTTTGAAATTAATGCTGTGAAATCTATAGATTTAAAGCTTTAAATTCTCCATCTTGAACAACAAATCAACTTACAGCTTTTATTAACCTTTTTTGAATAATTATATTTCTACTAAAATTGACTATCGCTCAAGAAATGCGATTTACAAATTTGTTTTTCGTCAATTTGATACACTTGCTTGGTAGTCACAAGATTCTCACCTCTGCACAACATCCGCAACCTAATGGCATGGTTTAGCTGTTTCATAGACAGTTAAAAGCAATCATCTTGACTAAAGACAATGATTAAGCAGTGTCCTTTAATACTTTTGGACCTGCGATCTTTCAAAGTAGAAATTTCGGCAACACCTGCTAAAATGGTATACGGGCAAAATTTTCAGTTACTAGGTGAACTTTTAGCACTTAGTAGCTCAGAAGTCATAAGCAGTCTCAAAGAGCGTTTTTAGAATGTTGGATCTGCAATTTATCATCAAAAAAATTCTGAAGTAAAACCTTCATTTTGAAGACATTAAAAGACTGCAAATTTGTATTTGTCCGTTCTACAAATAAAAAAAGTCTGGAACAACCTATGAAGTGATCGCAAAAGAAGCTACACTTTTCAGAGTAAATATTGAAAAATTCAATCAATATAAAAGTGGGTTACAAAAAATCCACATATCAACACAAAGGAAAAAAAACATGTTATATTCAATTGAACGTAGATTCTGCTGAAGGAGGACTAGTTACGGTATCGATATTTTATAGAAAAAATTATTTTATAAGTAGTCTTAGGAGTTTTGGATTTTTTTAATTTGTTATACATTTTCTTGTTAAGTCAATGTATATTATTTGAGTTAGATAATAATATTATTATTGTTAATATAAATTTAGTCAGAGAAATAAATTCTAACACTAAAGTCTTAAAGCACTAGCATCTAAGGCTTTCGGCTTTATTAAAAACCCTACCGCACTTGAGATTGGAACCCATGACCATTAAGTTGCTAGTCGAGACTCTTGCCTATTCGGCCACTCAGGCGGATTAGTTAATAATAATATCTCATTAAAGCAGTCATCCAATATTTAGAAATAAAAATCATTCTATCTTATTTTTAAAACGTGCTATACCAACTAATTACTGAAATTCGAACTAACATTCAATAAGTTTGGTGATATTGGCGCCAACGCCCAAAGCGGGCCTAAACGAGGACTGCATTTGGCACTCATCTGCATAATGTTCATCGTTATTAGGATCTTTGTCATTAGCTGTTTTCCCGTCATTACCAAACATTAACATTATCAACTTTATAAACTATCGTACTCAAAACTACGCTGTATAAATACATTGGAAATAGTGTCGCAGTCAAGAAAATAAAGGATCAACACACACTATATCTATTGAAAATTCTCAGTCTAACCGGATAGTAGAAAAGCAACACATTATAAAATAAAACTTTTATTTTCACGGATGTCGACGGAATTGTTATATATAATCATGTTTCAAATGCATTTTAAAAATATATTACATGACTTGCCGTTTACCTTCTGAGAATATTCTTTCAAAAACAAGCAATGCCATAGATAATATTACAGCATGACGTCAAGATATAGGAAAATGCTTATCTTGCTTAAACGTAGTCTCCAAAATTTCTGCTAAATAATGAGATATTTAAAAATAATATATACTTACAATCTTGACTACGCAAAAAATATTTCTTCTTCAGAGCTAATAGCCTATTACACGCATTAAGCATGTACATTGAATTCAACAATTAAACTGGTTTTTTGCAACAATTTCTGTTATCTTTTGTAGAGCGTTTGCTACGTAAACTTATTTTGCAACATTTATTCCATACGCCTTAATTTTTTTGCTCTTCATATATATATCTTTTATTCCCGATTATTCAATTTAAATTACATAAAATAATTTTTCCTTTGTTTTTACTAAATCTAAAACACAAACATTTGTTCCACTTAAAATTAAGCAATACTTGTACTTGTTTTTATAATTATTGTCAGTTTACTTAAAAATGTTCTTATTGGTATATATTTGTTATTCTATTACACGAAAATTATTGTCTCTGTCATTCTTCTTTCAACCATAATAATAGCATCAGCACTTCATTAGTACTTTGGCGTTTACGGTGATGTTATAAAGTCGAAGAGAACGGTAAAGTTATTAATTGAGTTTGTTTTGCTTAAGTACATTTGGGCTTCTACTTTTTCTTTTTTCTTTCAAATGCTGCTTATTTCTCATGCGACTTCACTGATCTGCTTATTATCGTATGATAATAACGGATGGTTCAATAAAACGTATCGTTATGCTCCAGCCGTAATCTCAGCAGTTGAATCGCAACATTTTTTTCTCATTTGAACTTTTCTAATAGATCCTTTGCCAATTTATAAGTTAAAAACGACTTCAAGTACAGTTCCAAGTTTTGCAGCTAAAAATATCAAATTGATTATATATAATAATTCATTAGAATCTTATAAGTCTAAATGTTTTAGAATGCATAATCAATTTGAAAAACTACCAAAAAACTTAATTAATTTTCTTATCCTTTCCCGCATGTCAGAAAATAAGACTGACCTTTCGTCATAACTTCTTGTATTATTTAAAATTTTCCGCAAGAATTTACGCAAAGTAGAAAACTTTAATTTTTTTTATTGTTTATAACAAAAACAACCGACGAAGTTGCGTGGCGACAACAACTTTAATAATTGAACACAAAGATCTTTGAAAAACTTACCAAAAAGATTTTGTGGTACATACCGTACAACATCACGTTTCCTCTTCAAAGACGTCAAATTTAACGTTGTTAAGAGACGTAATGAATTGTTTGCTCGGCCTTACGTAACTAAAAAAATTTTTGACCATGTCAAAAATAGAACAGTTTCAACTGTTTTTGCCTCTTTTCACCAAAGTATATATCGGGCAATGATGATTTAAAGAGACTTCATTCAACAGAACAATGTTACTTTAAAACAGAATTAAACAATTCGGTTTTCATACAATCCGACTTACAAAATATTACTGTAAGTAAATCACATGTCTCTATAAATATAACATGCCAATTTTCTGCGCTACTTTATTTGTCAACGAATTTTGCTGTTTTATTTACAGCTTCGTCTTAGCTTATATGTAGAATTAAAAAGACGTACAGTTTTGTGCATTTTAAGAAATGTTCGTTTAAGAAATGTGACTATATTTGTATCGCAGAAAATTATTTTTAGGTTCGCCTTTGGATAAGCGTTAAATGCCTGATCAGTTTCATCAGTCTTACGTCGATTCAAGTGAGTGAATAAAATTTTGAGTTGAATAATAACCTAAAAACACCACCTTATTTATATATCTTTCGATTTACTTTCTTATACAACTGCACGATATGATTGAATGGCCTTACCGAATTTACTAATTTTTTAACAATTTAATCATCTTTTAGGGACAAGAAGTATACTCAATACAAAATTTCTGTATAGTCTAATCAAATAATTATAAAAAAAAGACCAAGCGTTTTTTTAACAAACAAGATATATTTCAGTGATAAAAACTATAGCTTATAAGGATAAGTTTATGCAAAATTAACTTACAAAACCAATAATTTTTGGTTAAAGAATGAAATTTTGGTACTCATGATATTGGATGGGAGGGGCAGATTTTTTTTTACTGGTGCCGTGGGATGTGCAAGCTAATACAGGATATGCAAGCTAATATCTATCGCTGTATCTGCTTTCGTTCATAAATAACAATTACATTTTTTTGCTTTTTTTTTTTCTTTGAAGCAGAGATGATCCTAGCTTATATTGTATTCGGGAAGAATGCTCCGACCACTTTATCTAAAAGGTATATTTTTTAAAAGATCTTTATGTACTCTCCTTCTCCAGAAAAAAATGTTACAATTGGATTTATAGTGTGCATCCAATTATTATTATTTTCTTCATAAAAGGTGAAATGAAATGCTTATCTCTCTCGAACTTGTAACTTTCATTCGATTAATTCGGATTAATTCTTAAGTAACAATTGTTGAATCCAAAACTATTTTATATCGAAAACGTTGTGCGTTTGCGACTGTCTACAGTACATTTTTAGACTAGACATATGTAGCTTTAAATGTATAACCTGAGAGCTGTCCAGGAAGTTTCTGTACATATTGTTTTCGTTTCGGATTTTCATTTGCTATTTGTTTTCAATTTTGAATTTTAACGTGACTAAAATAATTTTTTTATTTCTATGTTTAATTTCTTAGTGTTTAAAACTTTAACTCACTGAATATTGCAAGTTTAAAGTTGAATTTTTTTACATTAGATTCCGTTGAAGTATCTTATCTTATTATTCACTTAAACAAAAAATTAACTTGGGATATTAAATAATCGGTGCCGAAATCATTAGGTCGATCCATAAGTAACTTCCATTTTTTTCGATTTTTTTATATTGTTTGCGTTAAACAACAAAATTATATTTAACAGGTGATTGTGAAATATTCAACCCTTTTGCTATACCTTTTGTTGATTGTAGTGGATTTTGCTCCAATTTCGCCTTTAAACAATTGTCTTCAAAATTGGAAGGACGTCCCGTCTTCGGAATGGTGTCACACAAATCAATTTCTAACTGCCCGATCATTTATCAGTCCTTCATCGTATACGCTGCATATTTTTTAGCTGTAGCCTTGGCCCTATCATCTTGTTTAAATTCGTAAAACATTACATGTCGAATATGCCCTTTTTGACTCTCCATTTCAGAGGTTAAGCAAGACAGTTGAACGTAACATTCAGCACATAAAATAACAAAAAAAGACTAGCTGAATCCTCATAGTGAAAACAAAAACTCATTTGTTCCGGGGACTTATAGAGGGTAAAGTCGAACAATAGATTCCTCCTGTCTGCATCGGAAGTTAGTTATGATTCGGTACATAATATAATATAAAAAGTTTTGCTCTCCACTTTATTGAATGTGCCCTTCAATAACGAGCAATGAATATTGTATGGATCTGGAGCTATTTTAGATTGTTATGGAAAATGGAAAGTAGTACTGTAATGGAGAATTTTAATGCAGGTCTTCCGAAAAATTGCAGTCGCTTGCTGATCCCTAATGTTCAACCTCTGCGCGTCTTAAGCATTGAAATCTCTCGAGACAAAATTAAATCCCACTTCGCTTTTAAAACGCAACCTGTCAAATTTTCATGCACAATACATTATTGTTGAGTAGCGACAATAACGTCAAATAAAACAAAAAGTTGTTGAGGAAGATTGTTTGTAACAAATTGAAATATCTATTTAAGGAGCACTATTGAAATAACAAATGCGTATCTATGTATTTCATGGAAAAATATATAAAATAATTTATTATGGACAGAATGACTTACGTGGTGCCATTTAGTACAGCTGCTTAGTTTAGTTTCTTGACTATCAGAAAAAGAGTTGGTGTTGACATGATCTACCTGCAACAAATTATTTGGATATTCAATCCAGTTTATTAGCTTCAAAGCTGCGGTCGGTTCATTTAACTTTAAGGATTTTCTCATTCTCTTTGACAGTTTGCTAGTAGCTTCATCGATCTGAAACCTGTTATGTATACAACCAAATATGAATAAACAAATTTAAATGAGCAAGTTTATTATGCATTCATTGTTTACTTTCGTCCTTTGGCTATGTCACGCAATTCATTCGCTCTAGCGTATATCTCTTTTACTCGACGCCGTTGAGTTGATTCTTTAGCTCTTTCAGCCCATATTAATTGTTTAAGCTTTTGAAAGCTGCCGACAAAAGATGCAAGATCTTTGGAAGTGGAAGCATTCAAAGATCTGATAGTTTCAATGCCAGTTACACCGCCTCCTCCATGACGAAACTGTTGTGTAGGACGTCTAACTATATTTTGCGATTTGGTGTCGGCATTGTTAATGTCAATTGGGGTTGTTGGAGATGAGCGAACCATAACGCGTGGGCGATCATAATAATCAACGTGGCTCGAAAATATCGGTTCGCGGCCTGCAACTCGACCAAACATAGGTATGCCAACACTTTGGAATATTTTGTCACTATAAAATAAGATTTAAAGAGAAAATCTTGTTGAATTGAGGAAAAATGAAAGGCAAATACATAGAAAAACTTTACTTAAACCTGATCATCTACGAGTCGTTCTCCTAATAATTATTGCGTAGCCATCCGAACGCTTTCGATGACATGATCAAAGAATCAACCAACTCAAAACAGCAGAATGTTTGTCTTTGATCTCTTACAATATCATTTGGTTTAAAGTGAATGGTAATTTTAAACATACCTTTCTATGGTGTGAGGTGATGCATAATGAAACTTATGAGGCTTGCTGTTATATGCGAAGGGATCATGAAATGTCGGAATTTCGTTTGTTATCTCAGAAGCACGAACACGGCGACGTGAGAGGCTGATGGGTACAGTAAATTTATTATTGTGAACATGACAAATTAAATATAACACATATACTTCCACATCGCTTTAAGTTTTTCACATGAAGGTGTAATGCTCTGCAGAGGATTAGGGTAACTATTTATATCCTCATTACTTTGAAGCTTCGTAGGTATGTAACTCGTTGGAAAAGGAGTTCCTATTGAATAATAACGAAAATCGCCATCGCGCTGCACGTTGCCGACCGCGGGTATCATACGAATTACGCTGCCGGAGCTTATGTTAATTGTGTCCAAAAATAAAGTAACCAAACAGAAATAGATCTTAAAAAAGTTCACCTGAAATACAGTTCAAAACAGATTTATTTGTAACCATGATTGCTGAAATATTTGGTACATAAGTTTACACAAAAAAGTTGTAGCGTCCGTGTACAATTGCAGTGTAGGGGTTCCGTCGGTCTGCTTTGACCACTACTCTATCACAATAAAGTAAGTAAGACCGTAATAACGGCCTGCTGTTAGGCAAAATCGCATTTGCAAAAATAACGGCTTGCCGTTATACCAAGAAAAAAAAGGGAAAGAAGAAAAAAGAAAAATCTTTAGTCATAATGGTCTCTCTTGCTAAATCACACTATTATGCAAGAGAGAACCGTGAAAAGGGTCCGTCTGTGTATTTTGAGCATATTAGTTTTTGTTTGTTTGTGAAGTTCTGAACAGATTTCGCGTAGTACTTTGTCATGTTAAGATCTCGATCAACGATACTTAAGAGAAAAGAAGAGAAAAAATTAAACACGGCCAAAACAAAGGGAAAAGGACAGCTCTGGTGTTGATACTTTGTGCGGTGAGTTGAGAAGTAGAGTTTTGAGTGGTAGTGCTATTAAGAACGGAGTGTGTTGGTTAAGGGAAAAAAGCAAAGCGGGTCGATTTCGGAAACGGTTTTTTTTTGAACGTCTTGAACGGAATGCATGCAAAAGAAAAAAAAAGAAATAAATAAAATAGGTACTTATATTTATGTAAAGAACAGAAAGATGGAAGTTTTGTAGAAAGAGTTCGGAATTGGAAAACAATATTCGTGAAGAAGAGAATTGTTAATATTCAAATATTAGAAAAGAACAAAAAAATTATCATAAAAAGATATTAATATGAATATATGTGCCAAAATTGGCAACGACTGCTGGATCATAGACTTAAGTGAGACCGAACAATCTTTATGTGGCAACATTGTGTATAAAAAATTCCATTAAATTTAATAAACTTGTTAAATAAATACTAGTTAAATGAAATAAATAATAGATTTCATCTGCTTTCAAATGAGAAATTTAATTAATTACGGCTAAAATTGCTCAGATTTTAACATTACAACTACAACTACTTTATTGGTAATATGAATATAAAATAAACTGATTCGATTGAAATAAGTTTTGTTTAAATTCTCCCGTATTCATTATTAATATTCGTACGTGAGTGTTAGACAAATTCTGCTAATTCTTCCAAACATTTTCTTAAAAACCACCGCAGACATTATATCTATACACGTTAATATCTTAATGCCATTATGTCAAAAATATATAGAAGAAGTTTCTTGCCAGTATAGCGATACGAAATCGGAATACCATTAAGGATATTGTTATGACGCCCACAAACAAGTAAACGCATGAACGAGGAGCGGAAATATCAGCAGCTTTGGTGAGAAAATATAAAGGAAGATAGCGAGAGGAACTTACGCTTATTACCAATGGTATCGAAAATTAAGCTTTACTGCAACGTCAACGTATGCATTATTATTAAAATCTAAGGTAAAACAAAATGCAAAAGAAATAGTACACATTTGATATAAAGAATATCCGCACTATTTAAGAGATTTCGAAAATAAGTTCAAAGTTTTTTCTTTTATTACCAAATATAGTTTTAGCTATTTACGAGAAATTAAAAAAATGTTTAAGTAGGTAACATCGAAAATTCATGTGAAATCAATTTAAATTTATGAGAAAAAAAAAAAAAAAATATATTATATACATTAAAGAACAAAAAAAAAAAAGAATTATGGCTGGCTAAGCGGTATATACAACCGCTGAAGAGTATGGATAAGGGGAGTGGGGGTAAGAGGACAGGGAATGTGCACTGACGGACTAGGAAGGCACCAACAAACAGCACAGACAACAGACCTCATAGACGAACTTAACTGGTGGGCCCAGCCACACCGTGTGAGCTCCTTAAGGGTTTCGTTAGAACCTTATTTATTTTATCTTATTTTAATTTTTTTTGTTAGGCGACACGGCTCTACCGCAAAGGAGCTACGCCGTTGACCAAATATTAATTGTGCCATAGCCGGTTTTCTATTTCAGTCCAAATTTTTTAATGTGTATTATAATCAAACTTACTTGAACATTAAAAATTTTGGTAAATATTTTTATTAGAATAAATGACGACAGGCCGTTAATAATTTTGTGTTTGAGTTCATTAAATTTCTACGTCATAGAGGTTTTTAAGGTGTCAAGATGCATTGATTTATCAGTTCGTAAAAATAAGATTTTATAATTCGAACTAGCTCTTCTTAAATTTAACAATACATAATTGCATAATCTCTTATTAACGAGAGTTTAAACCTGTTTCTGAAGTGCATGACAGTCTCCATAAATGAGGCTTGCCATCAAAAAACTTATTAAGACCTATCTATGTACGTGTCTTACGCAAAAGAAGTTTTTTCTGTATCGCTAAAATCTTATTTTAAACGATAATAGAAAAGCGTTTTTATGATAACTATGAACATTGCTGGCTCTTGAGAGAATTCTGATTTGCTGTGCCTGATGTTGATGCAATGTGCTTGCGCTTGCATTTAGCTTGTGTTCCCTGAAAATCGCGATGCTTCAAATGCAAAACGCAACAAATTACTCATTTGCAATAAAATATCTTTGAAAGTAAAAAAGCGGATGGTCATTCGTAAAAATATTAGGAAATAACGATAGATTTTAAATTAATTTGAGAAAATGGTGAGTTTATGACATTTAATTTAAACAAAAATTCTACGGTTAAATAATGTATTAGATGGTTCTATTAATTTTGATCACGGACTTCCAGATGTATATAATGGTTAAATTCGATGATTTTGAGTTTTCTCTACATATAATAACTGTTTTTCTATTTAGTATTGTTGATTTATTCAGCATATACCAACGGTAATCACAAAGTGCTCAAAAATGCTCTTTCCACCTTCAATACTTTTTTTGTCTAACTTAAAGAAAGCTGCGTCTGAAGTCCACCAAACATGTTCAGAAAGATATGGTTATGCTATTCGACCATATTCCAATTGACGGATTTGATTTCAACGTTTCAAAAATAGTGGTAAAGAACGGTCTGGAGGAGTAAAAAAGTTCAAGGATAATGAATCGCAAGATTTATCGGCCGAAAACGTAGTTCTCGAAGAGCTCCCGAGGAGCTTTCGAACAGCTTAATAGGTGATGAATCAACTGTTTCTAGACGTTTATATGCAATGAGAAAGTACAAAAGGAGGGAAAATAGATATCTCACAAATTGACTGAAAATGTTATTTCGAACCATTTCAACATGGCAGTTTCATTGTTTGCCAGGAAAAAATAAGAAGTGTTTTTAGTGGCGTGTTGTGGCTACGGTGAAAAATCGATCCACTACAAGAATCCCAAGCGCAACAAGTTCTACAAGCGGAATTTTCGCGGCCATAATGTTTTGCTGTGCAAAGGTAGATTCAACAAGACGAAGTACATTACCGACATCAATTGCACAAATTGAACGATGTTGTAAAAAAGCCAGCAATAGTGAAGAAAATGGCTACGGTACGAATTGACTGAAAATGTCATACTGGCCGCTGGTTGCAAAAGTTGTCAAAAAAACATTGTTGTAACGCAAATAAGAAGTTTTGGCACACCTAGCGTAGTCACTAGACTAGCATCGCTGCTAAACCATTATAAGTTCGTTCGTCACGATATCGCCATTTTGCCAGAAATATGGTGAACAGTTATAAAAAATGATGGAAAATATTTTGAAGAATATATATTGCACCTATTTTTCTCAATAAATGCTCTATTCCAGTAAAAAAAATCATGAATACTAACGGAACGTCCTATCGAAACGAAAAACTTTAAGCAAACCAGACATAATAAATTATAATAAATATGGGTTCATATACAAAGACTGAGTATACTGAATGGAATCGAATTTGAACATTAGTGAACCTGAATTTCCGTAATGTTGTATGTAGAGGTATATTCAAGTTTTAAGTCATATTTTAAAGACAATAAATTCATTTATTTGTCCTGTCAGTCCTCGAAAGTGTAAAGCAGTTATCTACAGAAAGCTTAGGGCCAGCTTGCGGTGCCACTTGAAAAGTAGTGTACGAGGCAAATGTATGTGCTATAGCTAAGCTAGCTACTTCGTGAGATGTAGTAGCGGCCCTATAAGTTGCTCAAGAATACTCCTAGGGCGGTTGCATTAAAGAATTTACGCTTGCTTGCCCCTTTCCTCATGGCAGAAAGACGAAGCCCACCATAGGCTTGCCCCTGGGCCTATTCTGCACTCACTTCGCCTACTGGTCTCTTTTTGCCCGGTAAATAGGTTTTTAAAGGGCTCAGAAGTGGCGTCCGAAGACTCTTCTAATCTACTTTTCCTTCAAAGTTGAAGTCAGTTTTATTTTAATCCATTTTGGCTTTGTTTCACATTACAATAACATTTATTTAAGTAGTATGTTAGACATATATCGTTAACGTTAATTTCCTATTTGTATTTCTTTTATTTTAACGACAAAAGAAATATTAATATAAAAAGTAAGTAAAGAAGTTACATTCAGCAGGGCCGAATCTCGCATACTCACCACTACGTTTTTCGCATTCTACTCTTCAAGTTCTTTTATTTGATACCCATATCTCTAGGATTGTTAAAAAAAAGTAATCGCAGTGTCTACCAGATTTATTTTAAAATTAATTTTTAGGCAGATAATACACATTTATTTAAGGAGCGACTTAAACATTCGGTCTGGGTTTGTCTTATGATAAATGTTTATTTATTTATTTATTCAACTTATACAAGAAACTCATCTAACACAATATGGCAGTCGAATTCAATTGACTCTTAAAGTAAATTTTAAAATATTAAAACTTAGTATAAGTACAATAAAACAAATAAGAAAGAAAAAAAAAAAGAAAAAAAGCATGTACACAACTAGCATAGAGCCACACCCACAACCGATACAGGACCAAATTGCAAGTGAACCCCTAAGCCATCGTAAACATGCATAAGCATGGCTACCGATAATAGTTAACAACAATTAACTTTCGACTCATTATAACTTTTTAAGGTTAAAAGTTAGT